GTTAAACGGATATGAAATATGTTTAAAGTTCTTTGTTTCTACTTAAGCGACACCGATGCTCTAGAAATATCCACATCAACAGTCCAAAATTGCAACAATAGGAATCCAGAAAGATGCGGATTATAAAATAAAAATTAATTCTGGTCATGTTTCCGATGGTGGCACTTTTTAAAGTAAATGAGCATATTATAAGATCACGGATGTATAATATATATATATATATATATATATATATATATATATATATATATATTCTCAAGGTAAAAAACCACGTTAAGTATCTATTTGTATTATTATTTGTATTTACGGCTTTGACAAAAACGCTAGCTTGATTTAGGTTTTAAATCGCGCAGTTATCATGATTTTTTGAATTGTGGCAATTTTGGGAAGTGAGTAGACATTTTTCCGTTTGTTGAAGTGTAGAAACAAACTCAAGTGTTTTTTTACATGGTGTAGATTGTAGAGAACAGCTATTTTTGAGTTTACCCGAGACTTTATTTATTATTATGGACAATGCTCCATATCATTGTGGGCTTATTGAGATACTCCCCAAATTTAAAGTGAAATATAAACGTATAGTTTACTAAATTTAAACCAATTATGAAATAATCCCAAACTTTTATAAAATACCGCACGCCGCTGGCATTTTATGAATGAAACCAGCCATGTTTTGCTTTCCCCTCACCGATACCCCGATGTTGCAGATCCGTTTGCCAAACTATAGATATATTCTATATACAACCTAGTTTCTGGCTGCATGGATTAGTCCTAAAGCCAAAAAAAAAAAAAAAAAAAAAAAAAAAAAGCTTCTGGTCCGGACTTGATTCCTGCCATTGTACTGAAGAAGTGTGCAGCGGCGCTTGCTCCAGTTCTTTCGCGTCTCTTAGAGATATCTTATGAATCCGGCACCTTCTCAGAAAACTGGAAATTTGCTAATGTCCAACCCATCCCAAAAAAGGATCTAAGACCGACCCTTACAAGTACATGCCTATAGACCTGCTTCCTGTTATAAGTAAGGTGATGGAGAAGTGCATAAATCGCGAGCTTCTGGACTACCTCGAACGTCACAGCTTGATTAGCGACAGGCAGTATGGTTTCCGGCACCAACGATCCACAAGGGACCTCCTAGCCTACGTCACGCAATTGTGGAGTAAACTCATCCAGTCTTATGGTGAGGCTCATGTCGTTGCTCTTGACATCACGAAAGCCTTCGATCAGATATGGCACGCAGCCCTCTTAAGCAAACTATGGCCTTCCAGAAAATCTTTTCAGATGGGTGGCTGACTTTATCTCTGGCCGCAAGATATCCGTCGTAACTGACGGGTTCTCCTCTTTATCCCACAACGTCAACGCGGGTGTTCCGCAGGGAGCGATCTTGATGCTTCCAAAACACAGTACTGTACCTTGAGAGAGAGTCCTAGCGCTCATCCGGTTTCGATGGATGGCCGAGTTCTGCCGGTTGGTCGGTGTCCAGATCTGGTACGAGCACATCTCATCAATAGCGGCAGCTGCTTGGAAAAAGCTAGGCTATTTGTTTAGGGCTAAGAAGTACTTTTCTCCGCATGACTCACACTCTATACAAGGCCCAGACAAGGCCTAGCCTCGAGTATCGCTCACACGTTCGGGTTGCTGCCGCCCCGACTACATTATTTATGCTTGATGCTGTCCAGAAAAGGGCTATCCGACTGATCGATGACTCTTCTCTAACAGACAGTCTCGGGACCCTTTCTCACCGGCGGGCCGTCAGCGATGGCTCTCTTCCATGATGCCGCCGCGCGATGTACCTGCCAGACAGACCCGCCTGTCTTTGGCCTCCCATCATAACCGTGCCGAACTTCGTACGTCTAGAACTGACCGATACGACCGCTCCTTTCTCCCGAGGGTATCGAGATTGTGGAACAATCTACAAGAGGAAGCTTTTCCCAGTTCTACTAACCTTAGGCAGTTCAAAAATCGGATTAACAAAGGTTCTTTGATATCATCATAGCAGCCGTGGTGTTCCGGCATTTAGGCTTTTGCCTCCGCGGCTGCTTCGGTATAAAAAAAAATCAATGCCATCTCCACGAATTTCAACTTGCTAGTTAAACTCATTCAAAAAAATGTATGTGTTAGTGTTGGAGAAGTCTTGAAATTGAACTATTTGACCTTAACCAATAAAGCTGAAATTTCCTACACACGTTTGGTACTATAATGTCAATACAAAACACAATGCCGCCATTTTGAAACCAATATGACGTATGCTCAAAATGTTGATTCATAGACTTCGTAGGGACTCCTATGATATGGGTATCAAATAAAGGGCTTGGTTAGAGAAGCACGGTAAGCAAAGTGACAATCTAAATCCAATATGGCGGCGGCCGCAAATGGTGATTTATAATTTCCATGACACCCTATGAAATGGATATCTAATGAGAAGGCTTGATCAGAGAAGCGCAATGAGTAAAGCGATGTCATAGTAAATCGAATATGGCGGACGGCTGATATGGCATATTATTATTGTTATGACAGAACTGATCATAGGGTATGATTATTAAGTTAGTCAACTAATTATGTGAAATAAATATTCACTTGAAACAACCAAATAAAATTTCTGTTTTTGGCCGTTAGATAGCTCGCTAAAATATAGGTACACTTTAATTTTTCGATCAATTGAACAAGTAGGTTTTCTTTACATCTCCAGTACTTACGTAATATATGATTCATGTCTATCGAAATCTCATGATAAATATGAAGCAGTTTTATGAAGTCCTAATTTAATAAAATATATACAAATTAGATAAACACATTACTTAACTAGTTATTTAAATCATAACTACTAAAAAGTTAAAACATATAATAGAAAAGAGGTTTTTAAAACAAGCTTTTGTTTACTAGTTGTAAATAAAAAGAACTAAAAACTCAAAAATATTTTTTTCGTTTAGAAATATGTCGTTTTATACTCGTTAACCTTTAAAAGATAATGAAACTACTTCATCTCAAGTTTTCAGATAAAAGTGTGTTACACCCTTTTCCCTCTTACTGTTGAAATTTAACATGCTTTTATTTAAAAACATAAGACGGAGAAGCTTGTTTATCGTTTAAATGTTAAGAAGTATAAAACTGCATATTCACCACGCAAAAAATATTTTTAAATCTAAAGATCTTTTTATCAGCGACTAAATGAAACCTTTTTTACGATATTTTTCATTTATGATGATAATGCGGTCTCTCATGCACCACAAAACGTTCATCATGTATATCCACACAAGGTGGACTCGTATCGCAGCTATCTATACCGGAAAAAATTGGCATCCGGTAGTGGTGGCTGGCGACAAATTGGAGAAGTCTGTAACACTATGGAGAACGATTCAATCTGCTTTACTTCATTTTCACTAATTCTGTCATCAATAAGCGGAGATGGACGTTTACCGGTATACATTAATTTCGTTTAATACAATGAGTCGACAATGTATACAATGCGTATACAATGTAGATAACTAGACAATGCATATACAATGCCGTAGACTGTATAGAAGAGCATAAGGGAGATTAGGTTTACTCGCACACGTCAAAACATTAGTGAACGGTGAAGCGGCAACAACAAAAGCAATATCATTCAAAGACGGACCTATTGCTTAACGTAGCCCCATAGAAAGAATTCCATCGGTGTCATATCTGGTGATCTAAGAGGCCAAGATATAGGCCCATCACGACCAACCCAACGATTGTTACTCCAGGTGTCCAAATAGTTACGCACACCATTATGATAATGCGCAGGTGCGCCGTCATGTTGGAAGTACATATGTATCCGAGTTTGCAGGTTGACATCCAAAGCAAAGGTAAATGCTCGATCAAAAAATTCAAGTATTCTGTACCTGTTAATCTGTTGTCGAAAAAGAATGGCCCGATAACTTGTTTGCCAATAGCTCCTCCCCAAACATTCAAGCTCGATTTATTTTGGAAATCTATTTGCCTAACCCAGTAAGGATTTTCCGTCGCATAATAGTGCATGTTATGCCTGTTGACAACACCTATGCTGTTAAAAGTTACCTTATTGCTAAAAAGAACCTTATCCAGGAAAGTAGTGTCTTCACTCACTTTATTTAGCATCATTCTACTAAGCTCCATTCGAAATCCTGAGGACGAAGGCCTTGATGCAAACATAGGTGATATGAATGGTACCTATGCTTGTGAATAATAACTTGGATAGAAGTTCTGCATATATCAGTTTCTGTTCCAATTTGCAGTGCACTTAAATGGGGATTTTCCTGCAATTTTAATAGAACCTTCAACTGATTCGCCTCATTGGTGACACTTGGATTATTTATATATTTTATACTATATTCCACTGATTCAAAACGTTCTCGTGGTGTGGAAAATGTTTCCGGCCTTGGATGTCGCATATTAGGGTATCGGTGCTTATAAGTGCGAGATGCTAAGAAACTTTTTCTTTGGGCTTCGCCCCCGAACACGATTTTCAGCACTCCAAATTTCAAAATGGCGGATTGAGGGGTTGCCGAAGTGGATGGTTTTTCTACACAAAACACCTTATTTCTCAGTAGCTAATTACCAGAACCCCATAGTATGTTATATCAATTTTCTTCTTTTGAACTGGTTTATCTAAATATGCAATAAAATTTGCATTCCATTTAAAAAATCACAACTTTGATATGTAGGTCAAAATTGGGGCACCCTGTATAATTTCCAATATTTTAGAAATGTGGACGCAAATTATATATATATATATATATATATATATATATAATATTTGTTTATCAGTAATATTCCGTCCACACATGGATGGACCACCCTGTATATATATACGAGTATAATAAATATCTAAATTCATAGCGTTTCTAATTATTCAAGAACCACTTTTACAGGTGTAATACATATCCAAGCAACCTAGTTGAACTATGATTTGTTATGGTATACGTATACAATGGTGTATCTTGCATGATGTAGGTATACGATGTCAATACGTTGTTAATCGGTTATAAACCAAAAATCTTCTCACCTACCTTAAAACATCACTAGCATGAGACTGGGCATACCCCGAGTCATCCAGCAAGCCAGCCTTGTACAACTCTTCCACAGGAGTCCCTCTGGTGTACTCCTCGAAGTTCACATGCAGCAACTTGACATTCTCATAGCTTAATAAAGCCTTCAAGATATCATCAGACTCATCTCCTTCGAATCTCAGTCTTCCAGGAGAGGTGAAGAGGAGGTGAACACCCATTCCAGGGTTCATTTTTGCAGCACTTTCCACTGCACATGCCTCGCGAGCTGTAATGGTTATCTTCCCATTGAAGAACGAATTGCAGGAGGTCTCGTGAAAGAAGATCGACTTCCCCTTTTGAGGGGTTTCTTCTGATATGTCTGGCAGAGTGTTGGAACATTCTCGGTAGCAGTATATGCTCTCTCTGGGATAGAGGTAGTGGTAGACTTTGGTAGGAATGAAGTAGTTCTGGATGAGAACGAAGATCAATGCGAGCAGGCTGATGCATAGTACACAGTTGATGCATTTCTTCCTCTGCAGCCAAAAAATGTTCATTATTCGTGTGGGACTGATGACGGAAGCATATTTCTGAACGTCTGCAAATAAAATTCATACAGGATGATCCAAAAGTGCTAGAATAGCAAGATATTTGGGAATATTTTTGGGAAGTATGGTAAAAGTAAAATAATAGAGTTTATGATTTTTCCAGCTACTCAGCGGTGACCTTGAATTTGACATTGAACAAGACCTTGAACGTTGAATCGAGTTCAAGACAATTTGGGTAAACGTTATTTTGATCTTGATCGTCCTGGTCCAGGACATCGTAAGCACCCTCGTTCGAAAGGTTCTTTCTAGAGATAAAACAATAAAAACTCTAAAGACAGCAGAGGCCTCAATTTTCCCTAACTGTTCCCTGATGAACTTGAAACTAACCTTGACCATTTCCTCAAGGGTCAAAGCAAGGCGAAAACAATTTTCTCCATGTCTGAACGTAAAATTGTCCGCGGTAAAAGTACAGGATACTACGCAAAAAAAATTACGATTATTTGACGTTGAAGATCATGGCTAATTTTCGTTTCAAGGTCACAAGTTAATGGCCAGGAAAAAATACAAGCCCTTTCTGCCTTCAAGTTTTTATTTATACTTTACCTTTAAAAGCATTTATGAAAACTTACCAAACGAGGGTTTTTTTACGATGATCTCAACCAAGATGTTCAAGGTCAAAATAATAATAACATCTAATTTTTTTTTTGCTTCATCCATTTTCGGGTTTTTATTTTAACGATTCAACTGTAAACTGCCCCGACACATTAATTTCTCTGTATTATATTAATGATATTGCTTTTCTTGTAACTGGTGGAGATAGTCTTTCACTTAGAGCATACGTTTGTAGATCCTGTGTTGTAATGGAAAACTATTGCGACGCCAATGGTTTGGTCTTGAACAACAATAAAACTGAATTACTTCTGTACAGTACTGTTAAGTTACACTTCAGCCTACTTATTAAAAGTTGTGGCAGTAGTGTTGAACAAAGCACGCATTTTAAATACACAGGTCTTTATTCTGACGTAACTCTCACATGGTCTAAGTAAGAAGATGTCATTGCTCTAAAATTAACGACTCACTGTTATTAAATACGGCAGTTAAAATTATATTGCGATATTGAGGTTTTGTTAATGTATTACTATATATATGTCAACGTGCACTTTACAGTCAACTACTGCATTATATGCTGGGGTAACTGTACCAAGATCCAACGAAATATTGTTAATTCAAAAAAATATCTTGAGAACCATTTTTGACAAAGGTAAGGTACATTCATGCTGTACACTGTTCAAAAATTACAACATCATTACATTTTTTTCTCTATATATTTTTAATTGCATTGTTTATGCGAAGGAAAACATTAATAATTTTGTTCAGAGAGGTACTGATATCAGTATGTACAACTTGTGTCCGAACCTCAATTTGAAACTTTCTGCAAATAGGCTTAACTCTTCTTCTTCAAAAGGGCCTAACGTCATGCTCGTTAAATTGTAGAATAAGCTGCCTTAGGGTGTAAAAGAAAATGATGCGATGGCGGTACATATTTATAAAAGTTGTAAGAAAGATATTTTCAGAAAACCTTGCTTACTCAGTGGAGGAATACTTCAATCATGATTTTTAAATGTTTTTTGACTATTATACTTCGTTTGTACCTACTGTGTAATGTTTGTTTTAGACACTGTATATTTTATGACTATTTTCCTGTACTACCTTGTAGTCCAATGGAAATAAACATTATTTATTTTAAACCAATTTTGTTCTTGAATGATTCCCTAAAAACTGCTTGGCTTGGAAAATATTGCAAAATAATATATTTTTATTATAGCTTATCAGTTCACGCGTAAATTTCTCAAAATGACGAATTATCTCCAGATAGAATACGAACATGTCATCGTCATTTTTTTTTTAAGCAAAATTGTGAGGAAATTTTAACAGACACGCCCGGAAACCCTTGAATCCAGATTTGAATCTGTTCAAGGCCATCTCACTACCTTAGGCCTTCTCGACTACTCCGTATCCGCCACCGAAATGTTGTATACTTTCCCAGTATAAAATGTATATCTGAAAAATCGCATAATTACTAGATTACTCCGATTTTGTATATCTGAAAGACTTCAAAAAGTCAGTAAGAGGATTAAAGGTTTGCTTTCTAGATAGAGGCAGATAAACAGTTTTTGTAGGTTGAGAAGCTTCACATAGGAAAGACGAATTTCTTGATATGTTGGTAAGTTGAATCTTTAAAATAAAAGAGCTTTGAGAAAGAACAAAATATGGTACTGGAAAAATTACATCTAGAATGTTTGCCTAATGTTTAGCGTTTATTTATTTATTTATTTATTTATTTATTTATTTATTTAGATTCAATACACTGCCTGAACGGAACACTCCATTGAACAGGCAGGAAGTACAGCATGCTCAGCCGACAGTTAGAAAATACCTTCGAAGGCTGTCTTTACTGTAGTGAAAGATATCAAGTGCACGTGCACTTTCACAAATGCCACACATAACATAGAGTGGTGAAAACAACAATAAGTTTGTTCTAGGAACAGGTAAATAGAATAAACTGTTGCTACCATGACGAGTACGCAAATTAGGTATGTGTAAATAAATTTTCTCTAAGAGTGAAGGACAATCAATGCTGCCATCGAGCAATTTACACAAAAAGGTAGCAGCGAATAAATGTCTGCGCTTCGTTAAATTTGGCAGATTGAATCTGCTTAATAATATGTCATTACGAAAGCCCCTTTCAGGATAAACTCTATCTTCTTTATACCACAAATACTTCACGAAACGTCGCTGAACTCTCTCAAGATTATGGGAATGTACATCGTAAGCCGGGTACCAAATAATAGAACAATATTCGAGAATAGATCTAACAAAAGCATAATATAGTAAGATTAAAGTTTTAGGATTATGAAATTGTCTGCTGTTTCTGATAACAAAACCAAGATTTTTGTACGCTTTTGCTACAATAGTATTTATCTGCTCGATAAATGTCATTCTGGGGTCAAACAAAACACCTAAATCTTTGAACGAAAAAACTCTCAGGAGCGAGCTGTTTCCAATCTCAAAGACAGATTCTATCGGTTCCAACTTGCGTGTTAGCGTCATAGTGCAACATTTATCAACATTCAAATGCATATTATTAACTTCACACCACTGATGTACAAGGTTCAGATCTGCTTGCAATGCTAAACTATCATCTAAGGTATTAACACATCTAAAAATCTTGAGGTCGTCAGCATACAGCAAATACTCACACCGCAAGTCACTTACTATGTCGTTAATGAATATAAGAAATAACAAAGGGCCAAGGACTGAACCCTGGGGTACGCCTGACGTAGCCAACACCGGATATGATTTGTAACCACGATAATCTACACGTAAATGTCTGTTATTAATGTATGACTGGAAAAAATCAAGAAATCTAGACGTTAAACCAATTTTTGACAACTTCTGTATCAAAATACCGTGATCTAAACGGTCGAAAGCTTTTGAAAAATCGGTATAGACTACATCAACCTGCCCTCCTTTGTCCAAAACCTCAGCAGCGTATTGCTTGAAACATGCTAAATTACTACATGTTGATCTACCTTTATAAAAACCATGTTGACCAGTACAGATGGTACGACTTACATGAGAAAACACGACCTCAAAAAGTACAAACTCAAAAACTTTCGCCAAATTGCTCAAGATAACAATCGCTCTATAGTTCTCAATATGTGACCTATCGCCTTTCTTAAAAACTGGAGTAATTTTCGACATTTTCCATTTGTCAGGAAAGGTTGCAGTTTTTAAAGACAAATTAAAAAGGCATGCTAAGGGCTGAGCAAGTACCGAAGCACAATCCTTAAGAAAGAAAGACGGTATGGAATCTGGACCTGTGGAGCATTTAGGTTTCAACTTATTCAGAGCATTTCGTACATGCTTCTCATGAACTGTTATAATAGATAGGCAAGAACTATCGTTCACTGAGGCAGAGTCAGATAAATATTCCGAGGAGGAAATATAAGTAGATTGGAAATATGCTGCAAAGGCGTTCACTATTTGCTCAGGATTTTTCAACTCAGTATTTTCAGAAAACATGTTGCTAGGAATATTGGCGAAATTTTTGCGATGATTTACGAAGGACCAAAAGTTATTAGGGTTGTGAGCCAAAGCGCGCTCGGTTCTATCAACAAAATTTGAATAAGCCATGTCAATATCGATTTTTATTGTTCTTCGTAAACTGCTAAATAATTCATAATCTGACAAATTACTTGTTCGCTTGTATCGTTTCCAGAGACGATGCTTTTTTCCGATTTTTGAGATAATAGAGCGAGAAAACCATGGAGGATATTTGTTATCTTTCGGCAATGTGTAAGGAACATGTCTATCAAATGCAACATACAATCGTTTATAAAAAAGATCGCAGGCAATATTAATATCCGTAATATGTGACGGGAGAGTTAAATCTAAATTCATGATGCTATTATAAAGAGCCGGGATGTTTGCTTTTTTAAAATTATACTGCGGAATACTGTTTGTATGGAAATTTCTCATGCGACTGGGAAAAGACACACGTACTTCTAGAGGAGGATGATAGGCATCGATAGGCAGTAAAATATCGGATGCAGCACTCACCTGCGCAAAATTATTACAATACACTAAGTCCAGGATGCGATCATATGCATTACGTATATGATTGTATTGAACTAAATTGAAGAAGTGGCTCATATTTTTGACAACCGAAATGTAATTGTTATAGTAAGTACTATCAATGAGGTAATTTATATATGTAGGGATATTGAAATCCCCCAGAAAAAGAATAGTATCATTAGGCTTGAAACAATCTAATGTAAGGATGTCTTCAAAAAAAGTTTCATAAGTCTCCACAGTAAGATTTGGAGGAATATAAACAAGGAGGAGGTAAACTGTACAGCGAATGAGTTCAATTCTAATCCCAACAACATCAATTTCCGAGACTGAACATTGAAAATCAATTGCAACTCCTTTATATTTTTTATGTATCGCTAATAAAACTCCACCTCCCTTAGTCTGGCCAGTTTGTACATATTTCCTATCTGATCTGAAAACACTAAATTCGCTACTCATAAACTCGCTATTATGGATGCTATCATCAATCCAAGTCTCAGTCAAAGCAATTAGATCATAAGGACAAGTATAGGACGCATTGAATAAAGTGTGCAATTTGGTTTTTAATCCTCTAACATTCTGATAATAAATACAGAAGTCTGTTCGATCATATTGAGCAATATCTTCATTATGCTCGATTCCAGAATCTAAATTTACACAGGATAGTTGCTATATGTCACCTGTTATAGATTTTTTGTATTCATTTAATTTATTTTTGTATACTGTACATTGATTTGTATCCCAGGCAGCGTGATCTGTTTTTGAATGACGGGCGTTTACACAATTAATACATTTCAGATTGACAGATCGACAATCAGACACTTTATGATCCAAAGAGCATTTTACACAGGTTTGACTACTACTTCTACAATTTTTTGCATAATGATTCAGCCCACAGCATTTGAAGCACAATTTTAAATTGATTGCGTCATAAACCGCACAACTATCATAATTGACAAGGACCTTACCTTGATTGAGAACATTAGCATAAGTAGTACAATCTACATCTAAAATAGCTTGATAAACAGTAGCTGATTTTTTTGTTGGCCAAACTTTTATAGGAAATGGCTTACGAAATCAGTGTCATACTAAGACAAGTTATTAAATGTGAAACACAGACTGCTTTTGAATGAGACTTTCGAAGAATAAATATTGTTTAGGATAGTTTTCGCATCGCAGGCATAACTATACCTACATTAAAACGAAATATATATCTCTAAAGCCTTTTTAGCTACGATTACGGATATTAACCGGTATACCCGACCTGAATAGAGAACGAAACTAAATGATGATATTACTAGAAATAGACGTTAGACGTGACCTACCTCTTAATTAACTTGTTTCCTTGGATAAACCGTGACGGCACTTCTTATAAACAATTCAGCAATTAAACCACTACACTTTGATCCACAACAACTAAATTATTCCGTGTCTGTACTAATGAGTAATGAGTAGTGGATAGAGTGCAAGTTCATGCCGGGGAGCGGTGATCTTCTGAGCGGTGAGTGAAGGGCCAAGGGCAGAAGGGGACTCTACACAGCTACAGCTCTCTCATGCCGGACAATACGCTCTACTCTGCCTTTGAAACAGCTTTTGCGCGGCCGCACCAACAGCCCCAACGGATCTGCGAACCACAGACGTGTGTCGCAGCAACGCCCCGCTAGACGACGCATATACGAGGGTTACACTGATAGATAAACGAATTTAGACTTGGTAGAAGGAGCAAGCCAAGGATTTGTTTGTTTCCTTATTCTCACAGTCTTTAGAGAGGATCAAGGTGCACTTGACATAAGTCAATTCCTAGACGTTCTCTCATTAAATTCGTAGTTTTAGTGTTATTTTTAAAAAAAAAGCGAGAGTTTGCAGGTAATAGGCTAGCTGAAGCTTTTTTAAGTAGATAATATTTGTTCTATTAGACCAAAAAATTGATACTATATCTTTGTAGACCTTGAAGCTTTAATTTAAAAAAATATTTTTTTCGCAGCGGAACACGCTGCCAGTCCTGTGTCGCCAATATATTAATGTACTCTGACGTCATACCATTTGTAAACAGCAGCTGGCAGCAGCATAACCTTAAAACTTTTAAATATATAAACATTCTATTAATTTACATGCAAAATAAATTAATTATCTTTCTTGTATCCATCGAGAATGTAAAAACACATCGATAAAGACCCCAAGAAAGCTGTGGATTAGAGTGTACAAGGAAATACATATATGCAACACTGAGAAATGCTTGGAGTATACCTTATGTTCGGCACGGGTATTACGTATCTTGAAAAGTGTCACTTTGTCGGTCTAAGCTGTAAGTTCTATACTATAGCTGAAAGGAAACGGTAGTGTATAGGTGCATATTGAAGACTTGTTTGCTAATAATCTGTGTTGATGATAATTCCATTGGTTTCTTGTCTCAAATACACCTACTTGAGATGTATTCAAAGCTAGACATTAGTTGTGCATCCACTTTTTCTTATTCATACTGGAAATTACATGTGCAAATTTGCAGAATTTCAGAAATGAAAGAGATAAGAAAAGAAAATCCCTGGTTGGTGAACTATATTACAAGTAACGTGTGAGAAAATATGCTACAAACAGGAATATTTTGAAAGTTTAAAGGTTATTACTTTATTTTTTATTTCTGCTAATTTATTTTGCTATGTTAATAGAAAATACAAATCAGCGCTTAGATAAGAGGTAGTGCGAAAATGAGTCATTCCTAATTTTTCTGTGATTTGGCTTAATTGCACACAACGCGGGCGCATTGATGGTTTCCCGTAATGCTCGTCAAAGTTTTTTAAAACACAAAAAACGGGGAAAATCGTAATGTATAACTTTGAACATAACCTATCTTCAGAAAGGATAACATTTAAATAACCCGTCGAGCACAGCTAATATAAGTATATATATACTTCATTGGCAGCATATTCAGTTATAATTTTCTCAAATAACAAATATCACTCAGTTTATACACAGACAGACCACTACACATAATCATCCTGATGCGATCTTGCTTCTTAACCAACTTTATTTCTTTCACATCTTCTTAGAGATAAACACTACAGACCACTCGGCTTCACAAAACATATACACTCGGCTTTCTGCAACCAATAATGCATGCTTGAGTGTGTCGTGTCGTTAAGTCATTCCTCCATGAATGAAGTATTTGCACACAAAAAACTACCTAGTCTGCTAGATGGCATTTTGTCTTCTTTTTTTCTGACGTTTTTTTAGGTTTTTCACATCATACCCTTGCCGGACAAATTTTACATTTTACTGTGTAAGAAGAAATACAATATTAGATAAAAATATTCGGAGGTTATGACGTATGACCTAAGTTTTGAGTGACTTCTAAAGGGAAGAGTATGTAAATGTATTACTTATTTTCTATTTTTATGTCTATCCTGATATGAGATACACTGTACTCTTACTTAGAGATCTTGATGTTCCTCAGCTCAGCAAAGCAGAAATCTGCGTTGAAGGCAAAAAAAATTGCCATCAATGTGGATTCAATTTTCAGCAAAGTGCTTCCTGCTTTTACAAATCCAACGCCCATTATTATTTTTTTCAATAAAACGAGAAAATGATAACTGTTAACGTTGATTAGGAGTTAGTTCACGAGTGACATACGGATGACGTGTCTTTGTTTACAGTTTGTATGACGTCACATCTTCCCCGATAGCGTTTTCACCATTTCATATTAAAAACTAAACTTTTTTTTTAAATTGGGCTTTCAGATACATCTTGCGCTTGTAAAAATCGAAATCAATATATTTCGTTCTCCGAGGACAAATACTATAAGAAATAATCAATTAATTAATAAATTAGATCTGGCTCAAGTAGCCTATTGTGGTGATAGACGATTTTTTATATAATTTGCAAAGAATAGCACAAATCCAACGAAGATAGATGTTTCCACGGGTATTATTATTAAGTTGATACAACGCAATGGCAGACAAATTAGGCAAAATTAGGCATTAAGACCATGCATTTTTGGCGACAAACAATGAAATGTAAACATGTAGGCTTGGCTCCTTCTAAGCTCTTAGAATGCATTGTGATAGATTACAGGACCTAACCCCAGTGGAACTCCTTGGGAATTCTGAACTCTCCTGAAATTTGTTTGTGTTTTATTGGATCGTTTTGTATCTTTAGAAACGCTCTAGACTTTATGTAGATAAGCTGATATGGTTCTTGTCTGCTATATACAATCTACCAGGTAATAATAATTATGAAGTTCGGAGCATGGACGGTTAGTGGATTCATGTTAGGTTGACATTTTATTCAACACCCCCTCCTACCTTAGCTGCTATCCAGTGACCTAGTTGAGTCACTCAGAGTAACTCAGTAGTCCTCAACACCAATACCGTTCCACTGCATGTTGTATACTGATTGATGGCAAAATGCACCAACAGGCACTACAGCTAGAAGACTCATTTGAATTCTTTAAAATCAAAAGTGATATCCGAATCCTGATAGAAGGGTGCCTTTCAAAAAATTCATTGGTAGACTTTCATAAGTGCTGGTATCGGAACCATTCAAGAATCGAGACTCTGGTCTCGTTTCCTTGTAGCGCTGATTTGGAACTGCGGAAATCGGAATTGGAGCTAAAGGAAAAGGTGGACAAATCGAAGGAAGCGGTTCAGAGACCAGAATCGAAACCGGTTGCAATGGAATCACTAAATGAAACGACTTGGCCCGGCTCAAATTAAATGGTAACAGAAACGTACCACTTGGGCGAACGCCCCCTCTCATTAGGATAGAAAACTCCTTGGATAACCTTGAATTTCGTCAGACCTCCTTGAATCACCTTGTAGTTTCTTGAATTGTCTCTGAACCTATGTCCTCCGTGTATAGCCTCGGACCTCCTCGAATGGTAGTGAGATCCAATTTTGCTCCCGCCAGGCGGCGCTAGTGTGGTTGGCGGACGAATTGTCCAAAATAGATGGGAAAGACAGATTTGATCGAAATGTAACTTATTTTTCACGACCTCATCACATTAATCCTTTTCTATTTATAACCTTAGATAATTACCTCCAACCTAACTAGCATCATTATTTCTAGCTGTCCAGATTACCCCTCATTGCCTCGAATCTCCTTAGAGTATCCAGAAGTTCCTTGAACTGCCTTTGAGCTTCAAATCTTATGATATTTTACCTTTGATCTCCTTACTCTGCGATAGAAAATCTCCTTTGTGGCCACTATCTATCTAGATTCATGACTGAAAATGTTGATGTCTCTGCAAAGTACTGTCATTGGTTTTGATATAGAAGAAAGCTTTTATATGTTCCCTTAATTAGAGACGATTGTATTTGTATTAGAGAAAAAACTGGCAAACTAAAAACAAATACAATTACGAAGCTATTCGTAATATAAGGGAGAAGTACAATATGAAGGTGAAGCACATGGCAGTGTCAGTCAGTCTTTTTGGGTGCTGACCGAGTAGATAGAAAGGAACATTCAAAGATCCTTGCGGTCGATTCTACCATAAACGTAGCTCCCAACGCTCAAGTGCCTTCAATATCATTGTTCACCTGTTCCGAGTATAATATGAAGGTAGTGATGTATGCTATCGGACTCTTCACAAAATTGTTAGGAAAGAGTCGCTGGCTGCCAGCAATGCTCCTTTGATCATAACATGATTAGAGAAATGAATCATTATTATTAGCTCTTCCTACCCAAACTATCAGATTTTAAAAATACGACGTTACTGAAAAGCCCCAACCTCAAAAGCATATTCAAGCAATTTAAAATCACCTCATTACCTTAGAAAAACTAATTGTATCACTGGATGGACTGACATCTTGCTGCACTCAATATTTGAAACTCTTGACATATTACGCCATCAACTGGTCGCAAACCTCGTTGACTCACACATATTTTAAAATTTTCCGGTTATTCCATAAATCAGTACTCTCCAGCATTATATTCCATTTCTATTGCTTTTGCAGCAAAATATGAATAATAAAACGGTTACTCAGACCAAACACATGTTATGCTTGCTTATAAATATTGTAGTTAAAGTACCGTCAATTCACAATTAGCTCTGCTCTTATTTTGAAGCAAAATCAGTTTTCTGGAGCCATGAACATCATAAGCAACTTATTGGTATAGGGGACTCAAGAAAGGATGTTTGCGAGATTTTCCAGATATGAGAATTGCAGTATGTTGATTAAAGATGTTCAGCACGGGCGGATTTAGTAATCTACCTATGGGCTGGCGCAAATGTGATCGCAACATTCATGTTTAGGTACACGTCCGTCTTGGGGGGGGGGGGTTAACGGCGGCTGCATGCTAAGCACCTAAGCAACATGTCTAAGCGGGGGGCAAGGCAATCTTCACACCAAGATGTAGTAATATATATCTTCTTGAAAAAATGACTGACTTGGGTGTCTGGGGGGCGCACCCTTTTCCCCTAGTCTAAGTCCGCTCTTAATGTTTAGTTATGAAAGCACTGCCTTTCCAACTGAAACCAGCTGATGGAACTACTTTCAATAAAATATTTTTATAATTTTGACCTATACCCCATTCAAATCTCATTTACTCCGCGTCAAAACAAACAGAAGCATTCGATTACCGTTTCTATTTGCTTGTCGATGTCTGTCCAGACGTTTATAGCCCTCACCAGCCCAAGAATTTGACCATCGCGCGCTGGTGTTTCTTTTGATGGGGAGTAATAAATAAG